TCGCACACCAAAGGGTGGGATGGTCTCTGAGGGTGGCGAATGCAGCCTAGGGGTCGAAAACTCCTAAGGGCATCCACACATAGTGACAGGGGAAAACACATGTCATCAGGCTCAATGAGGGAATGGGAACTGGGAGCGAACAGAACCAATGACCCTAACAGATAGACCATCAGGGCGGGTAATGCTCGACTAAGGGGTGACCGGTATGGAGGGTCGACCATGCAAGGGAACAAGGGAGCCTGGTATACTGGGCGCACCTAGATGAAGCATGCGGGGCTGCCTAACTAGGGCGTGAGGGCCGGTAAAGGGTAGAAAGATGATGGGCAAGGGAATCATGCAAATGACTCCTAAAGTGAGGGAAGTCGGAGCTAGATCCGTAAGATGGGAAGCCAGGGCAACGCTACGGTCCCGAAGCCTATGCGCATACCAAGGGAGAGCCCAACTCAGAGGAACCCGGCTAAAGGGAGACCATCATGCGACACAAGCAGGGTACTGTACAGGGTAGAGTGGTAAGAGAGTGGCGACGTCTGAAGTAGGCAGAGCTGATCGTGATGAAGTCCATGAAGCTTCCCATGACGTCCACGATGAGAGGTCCGGAATGTCGTCGAGGAAGAGCCGCAGCGTCGACGAGCTGAAGTAGCAAAATTGATGTGGATGGAGTACTGAGAAGTCAAAGACGTGGGAAGGTAAGTCTGAGTCAATCGTCGTATCGAGCTGGACGACGACGAGTGCGCTGTGGACGCTCAGAAGCATCCGGCTGCTGCTAAAGGTCTGCCTCAGATGGAGCAGGCTCAACTTCAGCTGTCTCCTCAGCCGGAGGAGAAGGAGGAGGGTCAGTGGGCTGAGGAGGAGCAGTGAACCCAACACGACGAGCATGGTCATAGGCACGCACCAACATGCGAGCGTGCTGCAAGTGCTCGAGGGGCTCCCAGGTAGCCTCCTCATCAGGGTAAACCTTCCAACGTACGAGATACTCGACGTGGGGAGTATTGTCCTCGGTGAGTCGGCGACCAATGATGTCTGAAACAAGGAACTCCTCGTGGCCATCCACCATGATGGGTGGAGGGCGCTCGTATGGTCGTCCAGCGAAACGCTCAGATGGTCTGTGGTAAGGACGCAGTAACGAGACGTCGTAGACATCATGCACACGAGCCTGGTGTAGGTAGTCGGGCAGCTGCACACGAAAGCTGACCGGGCTAGATGCCGTATCAGAACCGACGGCCTGAAGGATGCGGCATGGGCCAAAGAAGTGACACCTAAACTTGCGAAGCGTGTCCGCTTCGAGCTGTAAGTGGCGGGCATCGATAAGCACATCATCACCAACCTTGAATGGGTGATCCATCCTCGATCGGTTCGCACGTGCTGCCATGCGAGTCTGGGAAGCGGYTATGTGCTCATGTGCGGTCTTCATAATGGACGTCATGTGTGCAACCCAATCATCCAGCCCGGGACAACTCTTGTCGGGGTACATCTGGGACGGTCAAAGGAAGTCCGCGGGAACACGCGGGTGATAGCCGAGGTCGCAATAATAAGGCGACATCCCCGTGGCTGGCGAGACGGCGTGGTTGTAGACTATCTCCACGTGGGCAAGATGGAGATCCCATTGCTGGTCGTCACGAACAATCTTTCGAAGAATATCCCCGAGAGTCCTGTTCATGATCTCGGTCTGACCATCAGAGTGAGGATGGTAAGACGAGGAGAAGCGGAGCTGAGTGCCGTATACCTCGTGGAGCCGTCGCCAGAATCAGCTGGTAAAGCGCGGGTCACAGTCAGATATGATGCTCAGAGGTAAGCCGTGGTCACGCAAGACTCGGTCAAATACGATGTCGGCGACCTCACGTGCACTGATGGCATAGCGGCACGGAACAAAGCGTGCACGCTTCGTGACGCGATCGACGACGACCAGGATAGCATCATGACCGCGGGGGGTCGGAGGTCGAAGAGGACCGATAAAGTTCATCGAGATGGACTGCCAACGACCCTCAGGGATAGGAAGAGGCTGGAGCAAACCATAAGGTATGTGGTTCGCATTGTTCACCTCCTGACAGGTGAGACACTCTGCGATGTAGTCCTTCACAAAGTCCTTGCGCTTCGGCCAGACGTACAGGCGGCTCACACGAGCCAACGTCTTGTGGAAGCCCATATGACCGACAGTTGCCTGGTCATGGAACCCTGCTACTGCTCGGACACGTAGCTGTCCAGTGGAGGGAACACAAATACGGGGCTCTCTAGTGCCCTGTGAACCGTGCCAATACACAAGACCGTTAACCCCGAGAGAGTAGTTTGGGACGGTCTTGCCACTCCGAAGGGTCGCGTGGATGTCGCAATAGTCAGGGCAGTGGCAGTACTGAGTGCGAAACTTGTCGATCACCGAGTGGTGGACGGTGCTGACCAAGATGGAAGAGAGCTGGATGTGCTCCTGGTCGTGGTCAGGGCGCCGGGATAGGGCATCTGCGACCCGATTAGTCTCACCTTTGATGTGCTCAGTGGTGAAACTAAACTCGGATAGGTCGCGCCACCAGCGAGCCTGTCGAGGAGTGAGCTTCGGCTTTGTCAGAAAAGTCTGGACAACAGAGTTGTCCGTGCGCACCGTGAATGGTGCCCCGTGCAGGTAGTGACGCCAGTGCCGAGCGGCATAAACTACTGCGAGAACCTCACGTTCATCAGCAGTGTAGTTTATCTCGGCGGGCAGGAGCTGATGGGAGTAGAAGGCTATCGGACAATCACCTGAGCGAGACTCGACAGTGTCGTCCTCGACGATGGTAGGAGAATAGTCAATAGAAGTCTCCTTAGTAGCTGGACGAGTAGGCGTCAGTCGGGAAGCAGTGGTAGGGGTAGGTGGTGGGAAGCGAGGGATACGAGGATGAGAGGAATCAGGAGATGAGGGGGAGACCTAAGAAAGCACTGCTCCTACAACGAAGTCTGACGCATCGGTGGTAAGGATAAAAGGGCAGTCAAAATCGGGTAGGTGAAGAACCGGTGCGCATGTCACCGCCTTCTTGAGGGCGCGGAAGGCGTCCTCGTGGAGGGGTGTCCAAGCCCAGGGTGGGTTCTTCCGGAGGAGGGTGGAGGTAAGGACGTAGGAATACCTAGCGTATCCCCGGATGAACTTACTATAGTAGCTGGTCAGGCCTAGGAAGCTGCGAAGCTGCTTGGCGGATGTGGGAGCGGGCCACTCCRCAATAGCAGTGATCTTCGCGTCGTCCATGTGGAGACCCTGGTCAGACACGTAGTGTCCTAAGAAATCCACTTTGCGCTGGGCAAAGAGGCACTTGCTTAGCTTGGCGTAGAAGTCATGTCTGCGCAAGCGGTCAAGGACGTCGTGGAGGTGTTTGAGGTGCTCCTCAAGGGTATGACTATAGACCAGGATATCGTCGAGGTAGACGAGAACGTACTACTCCAAGATGTCCCTGAAGATGTCGTTCATCACCCTCTGGAAGGTAGCGGGTGCGTTGGTGAGGCCGAATGGCATAACCGTGAACTCGTAGTTGCCGAATCGCCATCGGAACGCGGTCTTCGGCTGGTCATATGCACCGACGCGGATCTAATGGTAACCGCTACGAAGATCAATCTTCGTAAAGAAGCGGTTGCCTGCTAGGCGGTCGAACAGCTCATCGGAACGAGGCATGGGGTAGCTGTTCTTAACCGTGTAGCGGTTGAGGCCGCGGTAGTCGATGCGGAGACGAAGAGTTCCATCCGCTTTGCGAGTAAAGAGGACGGGTGCACCCCACGGGGAGTTGCTGGGTTTAATGAAACCCAGTCTCAGGAGCTCCTCAAACTGACGCTTGTGTTCGGTGGCCTCGGGGATCGAGAGTCTGTAGGGTGCCTGGTGGTGAACACGATAGTCAGGCACGAGCTGAATGGAGTGCTCGACGTCACGCATCGGTGGGATGCCGGCGTACGAGAACGACGATGAAAAAACGTCGTGGTACTCTCAGATGAGGTCACATACTGCGGGCTCCAAGTCAACCGTATATCGTGCGAGTTCCTCAGCGTCAGCGTAAGCGCATGACGGCGGGTTGGACTCGACGGACGGCGGAGGGACGGAAGTAGAGATGGGAGCAATGGAGATAGAGGGAGGATCAGGCTCAAGAGGGATAAGCTCGACGTCGGGACAGGGCAGATTATAGTGTAAGAGATCCGTCACGTCCACCATAAAGAAGGTGACATCGTCCTGTCGAATGAAGTGAGTGAACTGCCGAGGCGAGGTGACAGTGATAGAGGGAGATGGTGTGGGCACTGAAGGCTCCGGGGGAGGAGGATCGGG